TACAAGGCATTCTTCGATGCCGTGGGTCTGAGCCAAGGCGGCGGTGGTCTCGGTGGTATGGGTGGAGGTCCAGCAGATGGCAAAAGTTTAGAGGATCTTTTCTACCAAAAGGAGATGGATCTGTCAAAGCTGGTTTTCACCCGTCAATTCACCCCGGCTGTGGTGTACGCCTGGATGAAGCTGAAGGAGCAGGTAAGCCTATCAGAACCAATCTCTCTCATCTTTGAGCATGAACCTAATATCGTGTAGGAAATCCGGAATGTTACCTGGATCTCGGAATGCATTGCTCAGAACCAGAAGGAAAGAATCGGAAACTTCATCTCCGTTTTCTAAGCTCGACTCGGGCCCTCTATGAATATCTGTTTTCCCACCTCTTTGTACTTACCTATCTTCCTGGCTGGTATTTTTCTTTGGTTACCAGCCGCTTTTCGTTGTATCGAGTACCCAGTTTGTTCTTTAACGTGAGCGCATCGACCTCTTTTTCCTTGATCGGATAATCTGGTCATCTTTGATTTCGGCTGTGTTGCCTTTTTTTTTTCGTATGAGGCGTTTGGCATGTGCTTAACCTTATCCTTATGACATAGAAGGACAAAATACACCAGAGATTTACATACTTTGTTGATACAGGGGCTTTCCTATTTGGGCTACTTTTATGGGCCCCACAGTTGGCTCAGTAGCCCTCAGCACGTGTTTTAGGTCACGTGTAGACTGATTCCATGTGGCTCAGTCATTGGTGCGGGCCCTGAGCGTCCATTGCACCTAACCTACTGTACAATAAGACCGTGGACTTAACCCGGCTAAGCTGAGACTCACTAATTCTATACGTATAAAATTCTACACCAGCCACGGGCTTTAAGCCTTCACAATCCCCACAACCTCCCCCAAAGAGTCAACCACAAAATCCGGCTTCAATTCCTGACAAGCCTCCTGATCTCCGTACCCATACCGACACCAGCAGACCTTGCTCTTAATATTCCTGGCGAATTGAACATCCGCCACTGTATCACCCACAACTAACACCTTCCCTGAATCAACCTCCCCCATCCCGTATCTCTCACTCAAAACAGGAACGAGGACATCTACAAAGCTCGCAGGATCGGGCTTGCGCTTCGCCCCGGGAGTCTTATCGCCGATGATTAGATTCTCAGGAACATAGCCATCCAGACCATTTCGCTCCAATGCCGTTTTCACAGCGGCTACGCCCTTGTTACTAACGATGGCGATGGGGATCTTGTGGGCATTGAGTTCGGTTAAGAGATCCTTGGCGCCGGAGAAGGCTTTAATGAGTAGTTGGCCGTGGGTGGCATAAAGGGCGCGGTATTTTTCGATCCATTCGTTCTCAACGGTCGGAGTGAATTCGGCCGGAGAGGGATGCAGGGCTTTGAAGGTGTCTGCTAGGCCGGCGCCGCTGGCGATGAGACGGTAGATTTCAGTTTGAGGAGGGGTGTGAGTGGGGAGGAGGGCATCGAAGGTGAGTTTTATGGTTTGGGAGATGGATTCATGGGTATCGAAGAGGGTGCCGTCAAAGTCGAAGATTGCGAGAGCTATCATTTTGATGAGGGTGTGCTTATCTTAGTGTTGGGGTGGTTGTAGTATGAATGTTGGGCATAACAGTGTAGAGGAGCTTGAGTAGATAAAGAGCACGAGACACTACCAGAATTAACACCCCAGTGGATCCTTAGAAAAAAAAGAAACCCCGGGGAAATGAGTTAGGATCCTCTAGTCAGGGATCTTGCAGTAGCGTACATAGTTACGTGGCTCATGCCGCTAATGTGATGTTACATTGAGATAGTGTAGATACGAGGGTTGATAATAGTAATAGTAATGGCTTTTCACCGGTTCAATGTAAGTAAGCCCTAGCTATAACAGTAGTCCAGGCTATACAATTGTCTCTACTAATTGTAAAGTGCACAATTATGAGATCTGCAAAATAAGCCAAGTACCGAGATATACTATGTACATAACAATCACTTTCGGATATAAACTTAATATAACCACCTACACTTCAACCCTCTATACAACTTCTAAATACCCACATTTTTGATATGACAAAGGCAAAAGAAATGATGGCTGTCATCAGCTCCTATCATCGAACTCCTTAAACCCTAACCTTCGCCACTCTAATGACGAGCTTCTTCTCTCCAACCTCCACGCCCAAGATAATACAAGACATAATTCACGCCTTAATCCACGAGATCATTTCCACAGCCAAATCAAAATCCCACGACAAAACCCTCACCCAATCACTCACAACAATGATCCCAATTCTCCGCGGAGCCTTACCCATGTTCGTGGCCCTCCTCCCTGCTACCTCGTTCATTCTAGCCCGCCGCAGCAAGATAAAGGGTACACAGGATGTGGTAGTGTACTAGGACAAATGTATGTCGCTTGGAGTGTTCCTTTTATGCTCGAATTGCGTTGCCTATGATATTGCCGAAGGTTTATAACAAAGTCTCCATCCGCTGGACAACTCACCACCCTAAGGTGCTGATTAATTTGGATATTGTTATGGCCCAGCTCTGTGATGGGTATGTATAAAGGGACTTTATTATATTTCCGCCTGTGTTTAAACCTTTTTTGCGATAGATAGTCCGGCAAGTACCGCTCTCGCCGCAATGAAGAAGAATACACTTGCTACCATCATTGCACTCGAAAAGACCTGTAATCCCCAGTAGGTCCCATTTTGTCGGCTCAAGATTGCTCCAGCAATGGGACTTCCCGTGAGCGATGCAATACTTATGCAAGTAAATAAAACGCCCTGACGAACACCGATCTTGGTCACGTCGGGCGAGATCTGGCCCAGCAAAGCGGGTACCATGCCGACAAAGGCACCCGATGCGAATCCATACAACAAGCTGAACACGATATAGATGGCCGCACTGCCTGGGGAGAGAAGAGTACCTGGAAGCCAGAGAGCTAGGATAACGATGGCGGACAATGAGCACATGGCGATCATGACGTTGAATCGGCCCAGTTTGTCTCCTAGGTAGCCTGGTAGAATTCGACCGGGGAGACTGCAGGATAGGTCAGCTCAGCTATGGTCTTCTTGTCCTATTATAAAATAATGAGTACTACTCACCTGGCGGCATTAAGTATAGTCAACAAGTACCCAGCTAGGTTGGGGTTGACTCCATCCTCCTGGGCCTCTACAACGACGTAACTGATTGGTACAAACATGGCGAAGAATCCACAGCAGGATGCCAGCATAAGTAAGACAAACGGTACCTCCGAAAACGGACTCGTATAATCGCTCAGCTTCACTGGCCGTGGAATATTTCGTATCCTCGATCGGACAGTCAGGTTGGAAATGATCAGGAGTGTGAGGACGATGAATCCAGAGATACGCAGTGACCATCCGAACCCGATACTGGGCAAGAGCCGAGACAGCATGGTCGGGAATATAACGCCACCTAGTGACGAGCCGCTGGAAACTATCCCAAAGGCCAAGGCACGTCGTTTCTCGAACCATGTTGCGGTACAAGAGAGTGCGGACGAGAAGACGAAGCTTGCCCCAAGAGGACTGCAGATTCCCTGGGCTAGCAAGAATTGATAGTACTCCGTCGATATGGAGGTCATCATAATACCAAAGACGTGAAGACATGTCCCGATAAGAAGCAGCCATCTCGGGCCATAATTATCGAATACCTGAAAGAAAGAAGGTTAGTATGTATACCTCCTAGGGTTGATAGGGCTAGATTTACTCTTCCGATGACAATTCCGGCCGCAAAGAGTACAAAAGGCTCCAAAGATAAAATCCAGGAGATGCTGGACGCTGAGTATGAATGTAATTGATTGTTCTGGTAGTATTCTTGAAAAATGCCCATGGCTGAGGTAGAGCGTATCAGGTTACCGGTCGGCATGAGAGATACGAATAGAAAGGAATCTCACCATTCACCCAGCCAAAAGCGCAAAATAGACAACACCACGCTCCAAAGACGACTGTCCAAGCACGAAGCCCTTGATCCAACTGTCCAAATTGTTCCTCCTCACTGCCAGAGACAGCCACCGTAGTTTTCGATTCCGTGGTTGCCATGGCTAGAACAAATCTAGATGTTGAGATGTCTCGAGCAGAAAGGAAAAATGACAAAAGATGGATTTTAAAGGAAGCTATCTCAGAGCTAAAAATTCTCTAGCGACTATCTACTTCCCCGGAGCCTCTAGGGCTGTAAACATGTGACCCCCGATAACAATATTGAGTCATGTCAACATTGGGATTAGGGATACCAACCATTTTTTTTCTTTAGCATAACTACGGCAATAATGCGGTGAATGTACTTAAAAGGGCGAGAGAAAATTAAAAATACAAAATTAAGCACTTCTTTCCAAGCTGGGGGCTGCTCCAAGGACAAATGACTCTTTTTGCCAAGGAAAATATAGTTTGGAATTCATTGCGGAGTCCGGATCTGGTAAGGCATGATTTCTCTACTCGCTTGACACTATGTCGGGACCAGCATCCTTCGACTGCACTAAAATAGCCAGGATTCGGCGATCGTCGATTTGCCTAGGGTTGTGCTATACACACATGCTATTCCCCCCCCGGCGGAGTATTATTACTCTGGACAACAAAATCTGCATCTATTAGAGTATAGGTAGTGTGAGATCTCATAGTTCCTCGATAAACGCTAAAAGGAAAAGTACAGGACTATAGTTACGCGCGGATCCAACGTCCAAATTAAGCGAGTTGAAAGACATCTAGACTTGCAAGGATGCCATCTTAGGTCGATAATTGTAGGTTAGCTTAGGGCAAAGATAAGACCGAAAATCTCTGGTTTTACAGATACAATATGAGGACCTATGGAATCGACGCCGAAGATGACAGCTTTGGGGGCTAGAAACGGCTGCCTCCCCACCCGTAACTTTGGACATCCAGTCCCCCTTGATCGCCCACTGCCCTGTAACTCTACTATTCCGCACCCGCCCAGCGACATCTACCCTGTTCATATTCTTGAATGATTTAAGGCCCATCAGCAAAATTATAATCGCCGCCAGTTGTCGGTAACTCAGTCGATCTTCGGGGAATCCCTGTCTAACCCTCTCGCCTCTGCTAGATCGACGTGCGTCTTGGCGAAACTCCGAGCTGAGACTTTGCGCTGGAACAGGATGCTTAGCTCTGCATAGGTCCGTCCGCTAGGTTCAGGAATACATAAATAGGTATAGATCAAAGATAAAACACAAGTGCCACCATAGAAAAAGCCCGCTTTCGCACCCCAATTCCATGCCGACGGGTTCAGCATGTACGGTGTGATGACGTTGCTGATGATATTAAGGATATTATATGTCATACGTGCCAGCACGATTGACTTGCTGCGGAGACGGACGGAAGGGATCTCCGCCACAAGTGAGTAGCAGACTGGGCCGACGGTGACGTCGTAGAAGAACGTGTGTACAAGCAGCATAGATCCAATTGACCAGGCAAGCCGGCTGCCACCGCTGCTATCCACTGGGGACGGGGATCGAGACTCGGCGACACCCAGACTGCCAATGACCAGCAAGAGCACTGCCAAAATGGCCAAGCCCCAGAGGTAAATGGTTCGTCGGCCAAACCGTGGTAGCAAAATCCAGGCTACAAATACACCAACGATGCCGAGGGCATACTGTGCGATAGACATGGTGAAGGCCTGCTCCGTCGGTAGTCCTGCTTGCTTGTAGAAGTAGGTGGAGTAGATACGGAGGCTCGTCCCGGATAAGATTTGAATACCCCAGCAGCTACAGGAAATCGAGGTGCGGCGTAGATCTACGCCACGAAAGCAATCAATATAGCGAGTGCCTGTGCCCGATTCCCGCTCTTTCTCTGTCGTCACCACCATTAGTTTAATTGCTTGATCGACGTCAAACTCAATACGGCCGGGTGATGTTAATCTAAGAAGAGCCGCTTTGGCTTCTTCTAAGCGATTCTTGCGAACAAGCCACCAGGGCGATTCAGGAGCGAAGACTATTCCGATCATCAACGGAATTGGCCAGACCCATTGCAGAGCGAAGGGGATACGATAAGACCATTGGTCAGACCGTGTAAGTACTCCTCGCAGAACACCGGCGGAGAGTAGCTGTCCAAAAACCTATTGATATCCAGTTGGTTAGCTTTATTATTTCATCCTCTTCACCGTATCACCTTCACCAACCGAAAGACAGAAAATGGGCGGAGGGTGTAAGCTTTACCCAGCAGAGGTTCACGTAGGTGGTGAGATAAGCACGAAGATGGGTCGGAGCTACTTCGGCCGCGTATGAAGTAGTCAATGTCTGAAAGATGCCCCAAGGAATGCCCATCAAAACCTGGCCAACTAACAATACCTCGATACTTGGAGCAAAGAAAGGGATGAATATCGTAGCAGTTATGAAAGCCAACGAAGCCAGCATCGTATTGCGAAATCCGAATCGTTCCGATAGATAACCGTTGAGGAGAAGGCCCATGAGCGATCCAACCGAAGCACCATTGGAGAGGCCAGCTTGCCAAGAAGCGCTGATTTCATACGTGCCATTCGGCAACTCCTGGCCGTATTTTTTCTGGAAAGTGGGTTGAGCAAAGAGGGAACCCACAAGTTTCATGTCGTAGCCTTCCATGATGAGGGCTAGAGACAGAAATATTGACCATGCAACTGCCTTGGGATATAGCTGGAGGGCCCGCAGAAAGGTGAGTTCATGTTCGCTGTGGGTGGCACGACGAGCTTCATCCAGAAGCGTGGCCGTATTGTCAACATAAGTCGTCATTTTGAAAAGCAATAGTACTACCTAGGTACAGTCAGTGACTCAGTGGGATGTTAGTTTTTACATCCCTTGATCCCACGCCCCTATGATTATATAACATACTGCCAGTCAGCAGCCTATGAATTCAAATCTAGTATGGTCTGTGTCAGCCGCTTTCAGTAGACGGTATGTGCTTATTATGGCGGTGAGCTGGGTGGGGCTATGGGGTCCCATGGGACTAGGGTAATGGGACCAGAATTGTTTTAGTCCCATGGGAGTTGGCAAGGTCTAGGTTTTCCTGTACCGGATAAGATCTATACTAACAAATTACCTATTCGGGTACTATAGGGATATATAACCATAACTGTAGGATTGACTTTAAGAAGTATATGTAGGAGTCACTAGCGACTTTAGTAGTTTACTTTGGGGAGTTATCTGGGGATAGACTTCGGCACAACCCACTCTAACCCGAACCCAACCCAACCCATCGGGGCCCCAATATAGTGCAAACTAAACAAACTGTGTTTGCACTGTTTACAGTCCCATGGGAGCGGACAAGCATGTCGCTCCCATCTCTTGGCATTCCCATGAGACCAAATGATGGGAGTGGGCAAGGTCTAGGAAAACCTCTAGTAGCAGGTCTTACTTAGATAGATTATAGTCTTACTTGCTATATATAATCGGGGTTTCCTCCTTCCTTAAATCCCTAGGGTTGCCTAGGTATTAGATGTTACACGTAATCTGCTGACAGATAGGTTGGTTGGCTCTTAGTGGCCTATCGGTAGGTGTAGGTCTCCATATGTGATTGGTGACTAGCATGTCCGTAACACTATACTACTGGTGAACTTTCGTTAGGTTTAGTAACGGGGTGCTAACTGTGCACGGCTGTTGAAGCGAGCGATTTGCGCGCCGAAAATGAGAAGAAAACGCAAAAGCGAGCTAGAACTATGAAGCAGATCCTAGCTATGAAAGGCCTCTCAGTTCAAGGAGAATCTACATTAATTACGCAGCCAGTGGAAGCGAAAGAAGCGCCTATACGCCCCCCACCCCAAGACAGTACGCCTATATTACCTTTGCAGACAAGAATTAGGGTCTCACCAAAATGTACTGAGTATGGAAAAAAGAGCATAAAATTAATAGACTCCCAGATAGATGTTGATTTATTAATATACGGCAGCAGACCGCCGACGACAGCTGGCCGTACCTCAGACATGTCACGACGTGCTTCATAAGAACTCCCGCATGGTAGTATCATGGTCACAGCTAGGTCTACCCACCGACAGTCCGTGTAATTTCCCCTTTGAATTGTTATGCATTGAAAACTACAATTATATTGTATGTTGTACAAATTCGGTATGTCCTGTGTACCTTGCAGAACGGGTGGGTCAAGATCTACAAGAGCTGAAGAACCGAACACACACAGGATTCACGGGACTGGTGGGCCCAAATGAGTAGATGCATGTATATGCAAGAACTCAAGGAATGGTTCGGCACGGGCATTTGACCGAGGAGTTCCGAGATCCAAAATGATTGACGTGGTGGAGGCATCGCTAATCGCTTTAGGAATAGCAATAGATCTCGGGGTTCCTCGGTAAGGCCAATGCGAATGGAGCATGGTCAAGGGCCAATTAAGTTATTATTCCCTAAAAGTGTTCAGCCCCTTATTCTTTAGCTCATTTATTTTTTGTGATATCCTGCCTGCAATCCAAGAGCTTCGTATAATTGGCGCTTTCGTAGTAAATCATTTTGATGGCAACGTTGATTTTGCACATCTAAATTGGCAGTGTAAGCAATTGCCCGGTGAATTATGAATTACCGCATGAATAACCTGCCTTGGTGATTACAAATAGTGACTTTAGGGGCTCCTGCAATTTAGAAGAATGACATGCGATCCTGCTTCTGCTGGTCCGTTGGTATGAATTGTAGAGTGGGAGTTCACCGGGTATTCGTAGCTTGAGAGACCGATATCATGACAATAGCACGTAGCGCCGCAAACTCAACTCGTGCGTCGTGGCGGACGATGCATCTCATCACTATTCGAGATTAGCGTCTATTATTGGTCTAAAGAATCGTCCAGGAGGCTGTCACCGAATTTGAAAAATTTACACAATAGCCTTCCAAAGCCTCGCCTACGAGAAGCCCCTAGAAGCAAACCTAAATCCAGAGATTACCAGTAAGCACGATATTACGAATCCCGGACTAGCCGTCGCTATAGTGGAAGTGAGCTAGGTAGTTTCTAAGATTTCCAAAATGGAACGGTCGTCATATAGGCAGCACAGCCCTAGTGAAGCCGCCGAAACAGTTATCGGGATCAAAGTTTCCAAGGCTACAGGGTAAGTCTACATCTCTCACTTTTATTTCATGGCTTTATGGAATAATGACTACTAACGATGGAAACGACCTACAGTGACGGCTGATATCCAGCCCAAACCTTCCCTTGACCTCGAAGGTAATATATTTCTTTCCGGGCAGTGCTCTAAATAGGCCTAACCGATCCAGAAAGGGCAAGGATACTCAATTGCTTTACATGATCGCATGAATTAATTCTCTTAGAGTCCATTGCCAAAGGCGAGTACAACCATACGATATATGGACAGATCAACCAATTCAGTCCTGTGGACCCTTACGAGTCGAAAAGCGATCCTCCAAGGGCACTTTATGATCTACTGTGACGGCAGGTTGATATAGAACAATAGAAGAGCTCAGTTAGTATCAGCTAAATTCTGCATCCAGGTTACAGAGAGTGTGTTTTCTGTAGCTTCGATAGACCGACGATCCATATGTGATATAGAGTTACTGAGCTGCCAATACGTTTAGATCATTTCTGATTCGTAGTGAGAGTTATTGTTTACTGGTGATATGCCTCGTTCTCCGTTTCTAGGGAAAAGGGTAAACTCAGCCAGCCATTATTACTCCTTGTCTGTTGTGCGACCAAACTACATACATTTGAGTAGCTCTCATAGCAAATTTCCATTTTCATTTTAATTTCTATGGCATTCCGCTAGAATTTGAATTCTTCACAATAGCCCCAATAGCCAGCCCCTTGTCTGGTGGCGTCCCATTGACATCGTGAACGTGGCTAGCTGAGGAAATCAATCAGGCTGAGATCGGAATCTAATACTAATCAAATGGTGCGTAAACCTTGCAGAGTCGGTATTACCTTCAAAAGAGAATGATAAGAAATATTTGGAATAATTCGTTGAATGGCCTTTGCACGGTTCTCAGCAAATATAAGATGGCCTTGTCGCCCATCTAGTATTCTTCTTTCTACCAGCCTCGTTTACCTCAAACACATTCAGACAATACCTACCTCTATACCTCAAGGTATATCACTTCAGCCCGCAGCTTTCTCAGATGTTCGTTGCTAATCGATCTTATAGCACGATGATATTTCCCCCCTTATGGCTTTGGTCGCGTACGGCGCTTTGATCGCCAGCACTTCTGCATCCGCCCTGGCTAAGAGGGAGGAGGGCATGACATGCACAATTGACAAGTGCATTACTTTCTACACAACTGGTAGTGCAGGGTGCTCCTCTGGCTACGAGAGGACTCATCTTGAGGCTAAGGGTTACTCGCCCGGCTCGTACTGTGAGAGAAGCTGTACGGACAGCGAACGGAAGACTTGCGCCGCGAGGAAATGTTCGAGCTGGGAGAACGAGTGCAATAACACACCCAAAGCGAAAAGCATTTGCAAAAACGCTATCGATTGGTGCGATGGTCCCGTGGCGATGAGCCGGCTGATCTGCACAGATGGGATTATGGGACAGCCTGTGAAGTATGAGAAAGACGCGTGTCTTCCAAAGGACAAGTCCCTGGATTCGCGTTCTTACCGCAAGGCTACCCCAGGACTAGGGGGCCGGTTCATAGCTGTTGTTAAAGACGCAAAGAAGAAGTACGGTCACGTTCAGTTCGTTTGCGAGCCAGTCCACTACTCCGATGGCACGAACATGGCGACAGACCTCGCGGAAAAATACGACACCTGCCAGACTGTTTTCAACGAAAACGACGATGACAAAGGGCGCGACTTTATCAGAGTGGATTGCAGCAATGTCCCAGAGGCCAAGTGGCCGCAGGTGAAAACCCTTCTCGAAAATAGTTGCAAGAAGGCCGAGCCTTGGAATGGAAAGAAGGCCCATTTCCAACAGGACGACTTTAATTAAAGCCTGTTGCAATGAAGGTGGTGGAATGAAGATGGTGGAAGTCTGATCAAACTCAATTGTCAAGAAACGAGTTTGATTTCTCTGATCGTTTTACCATGTAACCAAACGATCCATACAGATTGTCAATTTCGGGCCAGTTGTCTATCTTCTGTTTTAGTTTAGGGAATTTTACCAGTGATCTTTATCCGTACGCTCGTTAGGGGGTCGACACGAATACATATTCGTAACTTTTTGAGATAAATGCATTCGCATTCGTAGTCCATAAACCTCTACGGATATTCGTATTTGCAAGGCCAATATTCGTACGAATATTTTCCCGTCACCAAGGCCAACTTCCACCCAATAAGACAAATTGTATCACTTGCCGTTTGTTTATCTAAGTCACGTCCGAAGCGGTTGATTTCAAGCCCGCGTTTTCGATGCCGGTACTGGACCTCAGAATGTCTGATACCGAATCACAAACTTTAAACAATGATGGCTCCGACAGCTCATCTATCGAAATACCACCACGGCCCCAACGGGCTCAGAGAAAAGATTACCACTTCTTGTATGGCGGAAGTGACGACGAAGATATTGAAGGTCATACCAGAAAGAAACCCCAACTGGATCCGCCACCCGGTCACTTAGAAACGATTAGTCCAGAAGGGTCGGTCTAAAAGAAGTAGTGTAAAACAGTAGCGAGGAGAATAAAGATTATTTGCTCCCCCATCCGCCCCCACAAGGCCGGCAGAAGTACAAGTAAACCACAAAGAGTCGATCCTCGGTCTCTTGGAAGTCGGTACCTTGCTGATCTTCTATCTGGCTTAATGGTATACTTTGCATGATGTTTCTTGGTTTCTTGGTGAGTCAGAAGCACTCCGTTTTTGCCTTCGAGGCAAGGCCCCTGGGCGAGTGTAACTCTCGTTATTTTTTTCTAGCACTGCGCGACCACATGGAAACTCTGCTGAAGGTGATGACTGTTACATTCAACAAAGATATAGACTGCCATGTGTGTCACTTCTCATGGTCCAAAAATCCACCAAGTTCTTCATATTTAGTGTCTATTCACTCTAAGCAATCATTTCTGGGATCAGACATTGTCAGTTAGTTTATCTTTATATTCACTGCCCTATTTCTCTACAATTGGAGCTAGTTATGAGGACATGGTCAGCTCTTAGTGTTGAGGATGTCTTGGGGAACCCGACTTGATTCTCGCAACTGACGCTGTTGACGAAGCGCTCTCTTCGGGTTGTTGATGTCTGATGAACAAGGATGTTATATATCTAGTCTATCATTACTATTTAGTATTATCACTCAGTACTTCAACATTTCTGTTTTTTCTTTACACAAAATATAATGTTTTGAAATCAATCAACTTTGAACCTGTTGACTCATATGCCCATACTAGTACTAACCTTCGATCTCATTTTCAAGTTTGACCTTCTGGCATATACATACTCTGCACTAGTAGCTTCCTTGACTCTAAAGTTCACTGGCAGACATTGATCAATGCCTTCAAGTTATTGATACTAGATGCAATAGCATGTGATTGAAAATTCAATAAAAAAAAAATACGTTGATTCCTCATAGCTGATTGTCAAATGCCTATGGATCTACTAGTACTAGTTATAGATTCAAATGTTACCTACTTTCTTAATCATTACTGGAAAGATCCATCTCCAGGCTGTCTGTGTGCCACTACATACCACATCATAACTTCAAGCTGAACGACTACTTCAGAGAGTTTGAACACAGGCCAATTGGTCAAATATTTGTCATTTTAATTTTCTCCCTCTCTTTGCATCATATACTCTTGTAAATGTATCCAGCTCTATCAGGAGGAATACTATCAAGAAAGAAATTCATCCTTCTTCTCGAACCAGATCATTTCCTTGAGCATTTCCTCCAACTGCAGACCCAACCTTGTGACTTGAGCATCTTCTATTACAAACTCCGCTTTTACGATGTCATCACTGCCATCGAGCCAATCAGTAAGATGAGCATCGAATTTTCGGTCATCGGACACATGTTCGAATTTCAAGGTAAACCCCATTGAGCGATCTGTAGCATCGATGAAGAGCGCATCATCTCTGATTTGAACCAGTAAGTTATGATACCCAGGATTCCAGTAGTTGCCAGCGTAAGCACTGAGAGGCATTGTCGGTGGCTGCGGAGTATTCCCTTTTGGTCTTTGTTCATTCACTTGGCCCTTCTGGATATCTTGACTTTTCTTCGCTTGGGTTTTCTTTTCCTGCTTTTTCTTCTCCTTCTTTTCCTGGTTCTTACTCATTGGATTTGCATCTTTCGCCTCGGCCTGGGGTTTTGGACCGCGAATTTCAACAGGTCGTGTGGCTTTGCTTTTGCTGTCATGGGGTCTTTCGTCCGTGACTCCAAGGAGATTGTCAATTAGGTTTTGGACAAGGGTCGTCGCAACGCCATTTGCCCCATTTGAGTTTCCCATAATCACAGCACCGAACGAGAAATCAGGGAGAAAGAAGAGGCGACTTCCGAATCCAGAGAATACCCCATTATGGCCGACAACCATATGTCCCTTATAAAAGTAGATATCCAGGCCAGCAGCATATGCTACCGGTGAGGTGTGCCGCTTCCGTCTTCCTGGGTTTGGATTCACAAAAGTTCGCAGGCGAGTGAGCCCTGTATAAACATTTTTATTAATAGGCTCTACGCGATTGATAAAAGCCTTGACAAATTTGATAAAGTCGTTCACGCTCGAAATGATAGACCCTGCGCCTTGGCCTTCTGGGCAGTCTGGATTTTCTAACCCACGATATGTTGAGTCGGCTCTTTTCCATGTGTAGCCAGTTGCCATGCGGGATTCAAATCCTTTTGACCGTGCGCTGCTGGGTTGAAGAGTAGTTGATGCCATGTCCAGAGGCTTGAAAAATCGCTCTTCGAGAAATGTACCAAAATCCTGTCCGCTCTTGACTTCCACAAGATGGGTAGCCACTGTATACATCATGTTGCAGTAAATATACCTTGATCGAATAGGAGCAGCGACAGGGAGATTCCTGAGGTTTCTCGTAATGGATCGAGCATTGTCTGGCTTCGCCGCTCGCACACTCATATACGAATCGTCATGGCTGGCGCAATATCATTAGTCTTGAACTCAAACATGGAATTTGAAAAATATTAGCTCACCTAGGCATTCCACTTCTATGACTTAAGATGTCTTCCACGGTGACTCCTTCTGTGTATCCTTCTCCAGACATAACAAAGTCCTCGGGGAGAAGAGTCGACATTATGGCATCGTACTGAATATCTGGGAACATGTCATTATCGTCGACTAGCAATCCCACCGCCGCAGCAGTGAGTGATTTAGCAGACGATGCAATGTCAAACAGTGTATCTGCTGTGCAAGGTATTTCGGGATCCAGGCTCGCATGTCCATATCCCGCAGATACAATTTGATCATTGTGTATGATTGCAATCGCCAGCCCCGGGACATGCTGCTGCTTCATCAACTCTGTCACATCTGACGCAAACCCTGCCGAGTGAAAAAGATCCATATTGCTGATTTGACGAATTACCGGTGTGCGTTATGGAATGCCACTGTATAGGCCTGTTTATGTACAACATAGGTTCCAGGCAGTTTCTTTGCGGGAAAATCCCTCAGTTCAAACCTGGAAATGACAGCCAGTGCCAAGTAGCTCTCAACGTTGGGGCCAGAGGATCAGCCCCCGGGCGGCCCCGCAGGCCCTTCGGATTGTGTAACCGGGACGGTGGGACTTTAATCCGACCGCTGCCTGTTTGGCCATTTAGTTCGTGTAGAAATGCCTATAAAGCCATAAGAAAGGTACTGGATCTATTCAGATGGCCTCTTTAAAGGAGCTAGATAACTGAAGAATATTAGATATAGTACAGCAATAATCTAGGCCGGGGTAGGACTTAAGATCGCACTTTCGCATTGTATACTCCAGTTGATACTAGACCTACGTGGATTTTTGATGGCAGCATTCCGCTCGAAGTGATCATTCTGTTCTAAAGCTGTCATTCTTCTAAAGCCTGAAATAGACTAGGTAGTTTACCAAAAGCACCTTTTTAAAAGATTGTTGAAGGTAGATAACATATATCACAGTCACTTCTAAGTTGTAGGACATTATACAATTCCTACACGTATTTCTATATCCCATGCCTAACAAGAAGACTATATTCTAACGAAAAATAGATACTCATCTACTATTACCAGAATTTTAGCCCTTACTGGAGCAAGAGATACCAAATTACCTCTCCTCTGTCTGCATGCTGTCATATAGCGCCTTGAACAGTGATCCTGGCCGTTCAAGCAGCTCACGGGGTGGGCCCTCCTCAACGATACGCCCTTTGTCTAGCACCACGAAGTGATCAAAGTCCGGCGCTGTGTGTAGCTTGTGAACAATAGCAATGACAGTGCACGCCTCAAATTCTTTCTGCAGAACCTCGTGTACCAAAGCGTCCGTATCCATAATGAGGTCGCTGCTTGGATTGATTACTGCTTGAACAAGACAGAACAACTGCCTCTGTCCATGCGACAAGGTCCCTTCGTTCATATCCTCATCCAGCCCGCCGCGAGACTCGCAAAAGTCCCATAGGCGCACACACTGAAGTGCCTGAACCAAGCGCTCGTCGGTAGCGACCCCGAGAGGATCAAGGTTCTCGCGGACGGTGCCTTGTAGGAATAACGGGTTTTGGGGAAGGGAGTTGAAGAGAGCACGAACGGCCTGGCGAGTGATGGTGCTGATGTCGATGTCGTCGACGCAAATCGATCCTGATTGACGCTCCAGCACGCGCAGGAGAGCTGCGGACCCGCCCAACAGTACTGTGTAACCCAACGTAGCCAATACATCCCTACATTCCACCCCTTTTCACCCCATTCACACCACTCCGCGCCAGTTTATATCCCCTATTTTCTACAATATAGATATTTTCTTGTCATCTTTATAACTAATTTGAGGCCCCGGACCTGAAATTACTCTATAACGCCTTGCTCTCCAATAGATTTGTCCTTAACGATCAGTCTTCTATCGTAAAGGCATGTCGCTTCCCGAAGAATTGCAATTAGCCTCAGTGATCGATTCTATGCAGACCGTTGCCTGAATGCGGCCCAGATGTGACAAGAGAAGAATTCGAAAATCACAGGATAGCATATGAGCTCGTGGACAACCCCATAGCTGTATTCCACATATAAATGATTTCTGTCTTAACGAGAAAGGTTAGGATTATATTATGATGGAGTTTATAGAAGGAAAGGTCATCAATCCTTTGGGCGATGTTAGCGCTATACAGAGGGCCCACAGGTTGCCAGCGTGCTTGGAATATCCTATAGTAGGAAGATGGCTCTCTATAACTTATTGATTGGATATCTGCGGGATTTTATCCAAGGCTGTTTGAATTCTATACGCAGTGGATATTTGATAGAAAAGATGGAGGTTCAATTCCCTTCTCTTGGAGTCCGTGGACCCTTTGCATCCTATAGGGGACACAATCGCCTTGTGAATGTGTTTTTGCGGGAACCTCGAATATTACGAAGGAATCTTATTCCTGATCACGAATCGGGCACATGACTTTGGTGATGCGATTCTAAGCTGACTCTTAACGAAGGATGCGCGTAGTGAGATCTAGTCATAATTCCTCTCAAAAGCGAATACACATGAAGGAACTGCTACTGTTCGCCATGCACAGCTTCGACGTTTGGAATCGATGACCCTTAATAGGCGAGAGGTCAGTTGTCTCAGATTATTAGCTAGATTATTTGCTCACTAAGATTAGATTAAAAAATATCACATAAATTGTGCACGAATTGGTTTCTATCAAAGATTAGACTTAGAAAGCCAATCTATATCTAAAAAGTCTCTAAAAGACAGCTAAAAAGACTCTTGTTTTGTATAGGTCGAGAAGCTTCATTTTTATAGCATCTTGCATTCAATTCTTATATATCTTTGCAATATTTGCACTATACAGAGTCGAAAGATCTCTGTTGATCCTGATCCTGAATTAACCCTAAAGGTAAAGCCAGGGCATCGGTAAGTCCAGTATCGTAAAATAATACTGCCAACAATAAAGCCATCAATCGGTGGGATTCCGGATATGTAAATTTCTGCGTATGCTCCATTCTAGTTGCTCAAATTTCGCTAATCACTTAGTAGTTAGTGTTGATGTGGATGGTAGGAAATGTGCGTCCTTCAATAATAGCCACCAGTGACGGCTCACAGGGACATGTGGGCCCAAGTGAACTACTAGTTAGTTTCTTATTCCGAGATCAATATAGCACGACTCAGGACATCAGTTCTGGTAGCAGAAACTTCATGTTGCTCTCCCAAATGTTTCGTAAAAGAAGGTAGGTGACTGCACACTTTTGATGCCTATAGGTCCATGAGGTCATGTACTCTGAATGCAACATATGAGCATCAAAATAGAAAGGGAAAAGGTTCGAGCGCCAGATATTATCCAGTGTAATATGCAAGGATGGAGAACTTGTGATCAATCAAGCACAGACCAACATGCATGAGCTTCAATATTGGAAAGTATTACGTCTCCATGAAGTACACAGATCAGCCACATTGATAGTCTAGTCCAAGACCGGCGACTACATGCATGTTGAAAATGAAATTCTCAATTTCGATTCAACATTCACTGCTCATATGTGCAGATGGCAAAGGGTGTGGCAGAGATAGTATGACAGGAAAATTCGAAACAAAAGTAAGAAAAAGCCAGCCAAAGCCAGATGAGAGCAAGCGTAATAGAAAGAAATCACAGAAAATACCAGATTCAAATCCAGCGTACCAAGTCTACTGCGAGCCTGGATCTATGGCAAAGGGAATTGGGGTTGAGGGTGTCGTAGAGCAAAACATGGAAATTTTAGGATATCGGAGAAATGAAAAAAAAAAGAGTTTAGGCAGCGATCAATCAGCGATCAATCATACTGGAAGAGAACGCTGATACTTTCACCGTGGTGCACACGGCGGATAGCCTAGGTATAAGTCAGTATAATATGCGGGATAAACCGGTCGAATGGGACTCACCTCGCCGAAAACGTGGCCAACTTCCAGGACCTCGAGCTTTGGGCAGCGGCGCAAGTGCTCAACCTGATCCACGCTGTTGGTCACAACGACTTTGTCAAGGGCACTGGCGTTGATGCGCTCGATGGCGTCGCCACTCAGGATACCATGAGTGAGAAGGGCATATACCTGAGATGCGCCTTCCTTCTTGAGCAACTTGGCGGCACGAGTAATCGTATTCGAGGTGTCCGCCAGATCATCAATCAAAATGGTTATCCGATCACGAACATCACCAACCAACATCATGGTGGCATTCTGGCGGTCAGTGATTTTGGTGGGGCGGCGCTCCTATGAGATTGTTAGGGAATTACAAGGAAATTCGAGCGCTCGATAAGTCTACCTTGTGGATAAGGGCAAACTCCATGCCCATTTGGTCAGCAATTGCCGTAGCGCGCTTGGCACCTCCGGCATCGGGGCTGACAATGACAGCCTGCTTGTAATTTGGGATGTTGCGCTGAATGTAGCTCTTCAGAAGAGGTCGGCCGTAGAGGTTGTCGACCGGGATATCAAAGAATCCCTGGTACTGCGGATCGTGCAGATCCATGGTGATGATGTGATCGGCGCCGGCGCAGGTAAGAAGGTCTGCCACCAGGGTGCCGGCCTGTGCAACCCACTGTTTGTAACCGGGACGAGGCTGGAAGGAATTGATCTTGGAGGCGCTGCCCGCGGTGTCGTCGGTACCGTTGGTCAAGGACTTGAGGGAATCCGTTGTGTCGCTGCGGGGCAGACCGTTGCCCCGCCGTTTCACAGGGCTGCCAGTGCTCTCTTCAATCTGAGCTCTGGCAAGGCCCTTTTGGAGGCTTTCCATGCCATTCATCAAGCCCAAGCCTTCAGTTTTTCCACCCGGAGCCGGGGTCGGAGGAGTGCTCTCGAATGTATAGCCATTGGCGGATTTACCCCCCACAGATGCCTTGACGAGAGGAGCGCCGGCCTTGTCGTAAGGAATGTCACTCTGACGGGAGTAAGGGAAAAGAGGGAGGACGGCAGTGACTCGCCGGGCTGAGGCGGTCTTGCAGGCGGAAATGGTGATGAGAAGCTCTAGCAGGTGGTCGTTGACTTTACCGCCGCCGGATTGAATAATGTAGACATCCTTTTCACGGACGGACTCTTGGATTTCGACTCGAGTCTCACCCACAGCGAATTTTGAGAGTAGAACCTCCGCGGGAGGAATACCGAGAACACCGCAGATGCTCTGAGTCAACTGGGGGTGGGAGTTGCCTCCGATGACGACAAGATTGCGAACCATAGTGTTTTTGTTTGTGGGTATATCGGGATTGGAAGTAGAAAAGATCGAAGAGAAGGGCTCTCGATCTGAAGGAAATCAGGTTTGGAGGGATCGGGTGGAGGGGAAGGAAAATCTGGGGGACGATCTCGGGGAGCAGTCAAGAGAGGAAAAAATGAAGAGAGAAGAAAAGTATAGAGATTCTTGAGATTGGAGAGAACAAATGCTACCTCATTGCGGAGCAAGAATCAAGACTTCGAAGGGACAAAGACATAAAACAAAAAAAAAAAAAATCCCGATGTGAGTCCCGCGATGGGAAAAAAGCCTCTTTGGAGTGGAGCGGACCTGTGGTTGATGCCTCAGGTGGCAAATGACCCGGATCGGGTAAAGCGTATGTCGTGACGAGGCCCCGCAGAAAACGGCCTCCGAATTGCTTCTGGACAGGAATGCAGTAAATGGTCAGCAGGTCTACTGCTTCGGATTTTCCATTTGTTGCCGTCCGTAGATACACATGATTTCTGTTCAAATCACCATTCGCTTTGGAAATCACAAATAAAAAGAAACATATTCATGCATGACTCCTATGCTCCAGTCCCCGAGATAGTATGTACTAAGAAAGAAAAAAACATAATAGAACTTGGCATAACTCTCCCACCGAGTGCAGTCTGCTTCGGGAATCCGTCATTCGCCCGTTCCAACCTCCCTATAATTGAGTTAGTATCACAGTCCCAGTATCCAAATGCGGGGTTGAGGCTCACAAGTCAAGTTGAACTCCGTTGCTCACTCCATAATCCTCCAGTGTAAGTTGATCCTTAAAAGGGCGCTCGCCTTGGCGTTTAAGAAGGATTTCGTGAGGTTCACGACCAATTCGAGCTGCCACTTGGGCTTTGAATAGCTCTGCATAGAATGTTAGCACACTGGTGGGCGATCAACAATAAAAAAAAGCAAGACATACTGATCGGATCTGAGGCAAGACAAGGGATCGCGGCTTTGGTTCCCAGACGATCATTTACATGGACCACAATCATAGGTTCTGAGGATTGTGGAGCGACTGGCTTCTTCTTTTCTTTCTTCACTTTCTTTTCCCGGTCTTCGCGCGGCGCATCTCGATCGTCACGTTGCTGGGCCCGATCGCGAGCACCATCTCTTGGTCTGTCTCCATAGCGGTCGCCCTCTCGGTCACGTCGTGGTGATCGTGGTCGGTCTCGGTATCCTCGTTCTAATCTGCGATCATCGCCGCGGGAATCGTCAGTGCGGCTTTTGTCCTTCCACCGAAAGCCCCCGGTCGTCTTTCTGGGGCGCTCTCTATCGGGGTTTTCTCTCGCACGAGGAGACCTGCTTCGTGATCGGTCGGCCATGACTGTGGATGGAGAAAAGATGGAGTTCGTGGGTGCCCGACAAACCCAGATGTAATACAAATGAAGCTGTGAGGCACGTGATGAGATGCAGCTGCCAGTGGAGTAAGCTAGTCCCAAATTAGATTAGTGTGCTTGTTCACATCAGGAGCTCTCCTGTCTAGAGTACGTTTGAATATCTCCGCACTTTTGATCTACCTCTTGAATAAGCAGGCTGCAATGCAAATTGTCAATTGACTCTGGCATTTTTACTCTTTTTTTTTTACCTGAATCCTCCATACCAAAAATGCCAAGCCGACTAGAAGTTCAGCGTCCCTCTCCGACGACCGTCTCCTTCACGGTATCGAATGCGCCGCAGCGGTCGAGTTCCCCCGCCAAAATCTTATTCAGTCTCCAAGTACTGCTGCGTACAATTTTGTTCTTCTGTGTGATCGGTGTCGGCATTGTACGCGTCCGAAATTTCTTCTTCCAAGAAGATGGGAGGGTGATAAGCTGGCCAGCCGTGTGGTCAA